ACAATTTGATGTGGAATACCATATCGAGTAACCCATTTTTCTAATATATTTATTAAATTCTTACTTGTATCTTTAATTCTATCAACATCAATCCATTTTGAGTATGCATCGATTCCTACCTGGCAATAAAATCCGTCCAGTGGTTCGGCAAAATCTAAATGTACCCTTTCCAAGTGTCGGGGTGGCGGATTACACGGTTATACCATAAATAGGATTTCTTATATAAATCACTGCTTTATTTTCGCTTGTTAATTTATCATCATTTTTCTCTATTGGATTTCGCGATAAAGCATTTGCATTTATATTATTAGCGCCTTACTTGTACATAATATCGTAATTATATGCGGATAAGCCCAACGTAATAATCTTTGATATGTTAATAAACTTAAATCTCTGTTATTACCATATATATCTTTATTAAAAGTTTATGGTCTGTTCGTATTTTATATTTTCGTCCATACAAATAGTTATGAAATTTTTCAACGCCGTTTATTTAGCTTTGGCTTTTTTGTCGATTGTTGAATAATTCTTTTCAGCATTTTGTAAAGTTCTCGAGGTGTAAGCTATTGGGAATTCGTTACCATTATCATATTTTTGCATGAATACAGCTCCAAATCTTTGGTTAGATGCATCTGTTTCTAATATTAACTTGAGGTCCGGTTTATAAAACTGTATAGTATTTTGTTCTGTTACTATTCCTTTTGCTTTTTCAAATAATGCCTCATCTTTTTTAGTCCAATTCCATTTAACATTTTTATATGTTTTATTATGTAATTCTGCTATGATTCCATGTAAGTTTGGTATGACCCGTGTATGATAGTTTAATATACCTGAAAATGATTTTATGTCATGTCTATTTTTATTTGGATATTTTTGTATTACTATTATTTTCTTTTTATCTGGGTGTATTACATTTTCATCTATTATGTATCCTAAATATGATATTTTTTCTTTCATAAAATTTATTTTTTGTTTTGATTTTAATCCCGCATTTTGTAATTTTTTGAGGACTTGTATATTCTCTTAATGTTCTGTATCATTTTTTCCTGTGATTATAACATTGTCTAAATAAACTGCATCTTTACAGTCAGAGTAAATCGTTCATATATCGTTGAAATATTATTGGTGCTGTAGCCATACCAAAAGGTAATCGTAAATAGCGGTAGTATCCAATTGGTGTTACCTTAGTTAATAATTCTTGGTTTTTTAGATCTAATATTGTATACTTATTTTTATTAGCGATCTTTGCGATTAATTCTTCAAACGTTGGTAGAATGTGATAGTCTTTTAGTAAAAATTTATTCAATGTTACTTTGAAATCACCACATAATCGTAATTCACTTGAGGTTTTACGTTCCACATTGGAGTACTCCAGGTTACTCTTGTTCAATTTCTACTTTTAAAGGCAACTTTCTTGCTGGTAGAGCTATTGGTTTTGTATCTAAAAATTAAAAATACGTATTTTTAATTTTTGGCTAATTTTTAAATAGTTTAATATTTTAAAAGGGGGTATATCATTAAATTATTTTTCTGGCATCCAATTGTACTTATATTGGTTCCGCATTTTTCATTAATCCTAATTTATTATCAAACACATTAGCAAACTCTTTATATAGTTTTTCAATATTTACGTTTCCATTACCATTATTATTATATTTATTGCTGATCATTACCTTTTTTGGCAACGATAGATCAAATTCTATAGTCCATGGAAATCTAAATAGCGCTGCATCATTGTAACTAATAGCGGAAACCATTTTGTCTTATCTTCTATTGAACTTTAACATAAGCTTCTCCCATTATTTTTATTGTATTGTTTCCATATGTTGTTGGAGCTCTAACTAGTCTAAGTTTTGGCCTCCCCTTTTTATTCCATATTGTTGCATTAATGATGTTTACTGCTGAACCTGTATCATATTTCACGTGGTTGTTTATTAATACCATTATTTTTTGGGAGCTGTCCATATTTATAGACTTTTTGAGAAATCTGAATCATCGTAGTTACTATTGTAATTTGTATCATAAACATTTCCTCCATTTTTACAACACACGGCAAAGTGGTTTAATTTCTTACATTTGTTGCATGTTTTTCCGTATGCTGGACAATTCCGAGCATGTAAACGATTACAAAAATAGCACGATTTTCTTATATTATTAATCGTGTGGTAGTTATTATAACTTGAACTGGTTTTCTTTATACTTATGTTTTATTCTCATTTTGATACTGCCAATTATCATTATCATTATACTGCCGATAATTATTGTAATTCTGATTTAATCGTTTATAATTATCATTATATTTAGTCGTCACTTTGATTTTTTAGTATTATTTATTTATAAGTTGGCCCGTTCCATCATTAAAGCCATTGCAATAACCTTGTTTAAGCTTAACGGTTGCTCTTCGTCTGTAGTATTTGAATCATAGTTCTTTATCTATTTGCGACATCTTTCCAGCGATTAATTGATCACTCTATATTATTTACAAATTCTCATCTACGGGCTAGTTTATTTATATTTTTTAAATAACGCATTACTGAATCTGCTGGTGTACGACCTAATAAAATAAATTTTTGATGCTAAGACAGTTCTTTCATCTTTAAAGTTGTTTTGCAATTTTATATAAATCTGTCCATACCACATCATCACTTTTACTTTGAAATAGTAATTTTTTATATCGATTATATTTATTCCTCCATACGCTATGAATAATTTTTTCAAGTTACGACTGTTTTAGGAATATCCTTTACATTCAAATATATTTAATATAATCCAAATAATTATCTAAATTTTCTTCTACAAAATTAGTTTAACCCTTCAATACTCTGGTGGGGTATATGAAACCCCAGGCATGCTAGAAATAATATTAGATAAAAATGGTTAAATATTATGATCTGGATTCATCAGAAGCTTCATCAAATATATCTTAGAATCTATATTCCAAATTTCATATATTTTGGTTGAGTAGTTTTTAAGATATAAGCATTTTGTGACTGATTGGGATTTGTGAGACCCCAAGTAAATTTGCAATTTTTTAAGAAATTTTTTTTTTAATTTTTAAAATTATAAATATATACTACTATATTATAAAATTTATTAAAACAAAATATAAATATCTTATATTTTGAAATGAGATATATGAAAAAGAAAACGTAAAGATTTTCTCTGGTGGAGTTTTATTATTATTTTTCACCAGCTGACTCATTTCTCAAATTATTTTTATCATTTATAATGATTTTTGCAGATTCTGAAACTAAATATATAATTATTTAAGATGTAATATCTTTATTTGAGGTGATTATAACAATATAATTAATAGTGAGAATGAAGATTTTATATATGATAGTGATCATGATACACAATCTGAATTAGATGAAGAAGAAATGTTAGTCGAAGACAATAAACTTAATATTATTTAGGTAAATATGAAATCATAGTATATTTCTCTTTAAAATTAGCTAAAAAAAATAAGTTTACTGAATGGAAAAAGGATCTTCCTAATCAAAGAATAAGAACTCATCAACAAAATTTAGTTATTCATCTGCCAGGAGTAAAAGAATAAAGGAAAGAAGCTGACACTCCAGAAAAATGTTTTGACTTGTTCACAACACAAAAATGATTGAAAAGATTATTTATCATACCAATGAAAAAATTAAAATTATATGTAAAAACTATACTGACCAATATGAAAGTTCTACTAAAGAAGTTATTTAGCTGGAATTTTAAATCTAACCATCAAAATAAAAACAAAATATTTTTTTCAAATATGTAAAATAAATTTATGTTTAGAACACATTAATGTTTTGCATGTCAAATTTAACATATATAAATGTTCTATTTTTTTTTGTTTAAATATTGTAATTTTTTTTATATTGAATAATAAAGATTCATATTATGAATTATCATTTATATGATGTTAATTTTTTAATTTAATATTTGAAATTTAAAAAAAGTAAGCTTTTTTTAGAAATTTTGTCACAAATTATAATTATCCTCATCATCTTTAATCTAAGCTTAAGAAATAAAAATAAGTAAATATTTTATTAAGTTTAAGGTTAGTTCTATCTTATATCCAAATATTAAATAGAAATAATGAATATAACTGGAGATATATACATTTGAAATTGAGCCGAGTACTAACGTCATTTATTTCACCAGAGTATTGGATGGTTAATGTAGTTTTTGAAATATCACCCATAATTCCTAAAGATATATATTATTTTTTTAAAAACAAAAAAATTTTCTATACAATTCTATTTAATATTTAACTTGACTGAAGACCCCATCTTTTTTTACCTTTTCGCCAATATTATAACTTGAAGAAACCTCATAATATATGGTCAATGGTAACTTTTTATTCTCAATTCTTGTATATATATACTATTCTATAATTATTCAATTTAACTTACCTTTTTTATATATTATTTTATAATATTTAAAAAGGCTCTTGTTGTACAGTAACAGTTTTAATTAAATATAAACATTTTTAAAATATTTTCTATCTTTTAGATTTGCTCAACAAAATGCTCAATGGCAAACTGCATTTCTATAATGAATCTCATATTTTGATATTTTATAAATTCATTTACTAATTTTTATATATTTATATAATAAATAGATTTGCAAAACAACTCAAATAAATATTTAACAATTTTTGCCATAACTTTACTTAATTTTTTTATTGCCCAATATTTTATCTGATAAAATATTTTATTTATTTGGTAATAAAAATACTATCCATTTTGATAAATTTACTACCCAAAAGTTTATAAATACTGCCCAAAAGGTTAATTATTTGATAATAAGATTACAAATTTTGATTAATTTACTGCTAAAAATCTAATTTTATTTTCTTAGACTTTTGTAAAAATAAATGTAATGCATTCCACTGTTCATTATATAATTTTTCAACTTCATATAAAATTTATTTGTTTATATTGCAAATAAATATTTAATATAATCGAAACTTTTTAATATTAAAAATAAATAATTATATTATAAATCCTGAAATAAGGTTTATATTTTATTAATATTATGTAATTGTATCAAACAAAGCTTTGTAATAATGATGATAATTCATTTAATTCTTCATCCAAATTCAGAAAAAACCCTTAAATATAATAGATATTTGATAATAATCAAGTACTACCCATATTAGAATTCTTTGAGATGATTGCTGTTAAAATTACTTTGTCTTTATTAAATTGTATTATCTATTAATTATAATTATTTTTGCAGTATATAATAAATTACTTGATAATTTTTAAGGGTGATAAGTAGTTTTTTAATATCACCCATTCCAATTTTATTTATTTGATGAGTAGATAAATTAAATATATTTAAAAAATCAATAGTAATAATATTTTCTGTTATTGCTTGATCAAAAGCTATAGTAAATAAAAATAATATATAGATAAATAGTAAACCTTTAAGAATTATAATTCCTTCTTTATCGTGATAAATGATGGCGTGAAGATTCTTATGACTAATGAGTATTTAATTTTAAAAAAAAATAAAAACTATTAATACTTTGTGACAAAGCTTTTAAGAATATTTTCTAATTCCATAAAAAATAATGTAAATTTTTTAAAAATGATTTATCGTTATCATAAATCTGATGAATTTCGAAAGGCCATGACTGCTACTAACGCCCGTAATATTTAGTGAAAATACTAAACATCACACCCTTACACGTTTATTAAATGTGTATAACATAGGGTTGCCCTGTCTCCCCCCATCAGCGGGAGACTCCCGCAATTTTTTAGTTAACATGCAGACATCTCTCTCCCGCAAAACTACCGCAATTGAAAATCTCCCGCAAAAATCTACTGCAATTTTTTAATTTATCCCGCAATTTTTTTTTAGTATTTTAACGTTTTTAATATATAAATAATATTTTATATTTTTAAAATAAATTTAAAATATTTATGTGAAAATTTCCAGTTTGTAAATTTCTTCCTATCCTGTTTTATTTTTATCCAATAATAAATCAACATAATTTGATTCATATAAGTCAGTACAGGGGAGTATATCAACATCCATTGCAATGCAAAAATATTCTCCAAAAATAATAAATATTACAGGTGAAACTACAGTGGAAATCGTATACAACTATTATGTAGTTCAACATTCACAGAGTTATATCATCACAATGTGGGTTGAATCTTTCCCATGATATTTAACGACGCCAATATAAGTGCAAATCTTACTTGTGGTAGAACAAAAAATGAGCAAGGCTATCACAAGTGTTAGTACCTGTATCCTAGAGGTCAATTCTTGACGATTTGAAAGATGGGCATCCATATGAAATTCTAACAGATGCATCTAAAAAGGGAAATATTAAAACATTTCCCTTGATCCTTCACTATTTAATAAGAACATTTCAATAAAACTGTTAAATATTATTTCCTCGATAGTGACAAATCCAAAGATGTAGCTAACCACATAATGGTAAATATAGCTGATTCAGGGTTATCAATGATTGCATGTCAGCTTTCTGCCTAGATAATGCCTGTAAATTTTGACAAAAACCAAAGTGTATTTACCGAATTGAGGCATAACAATAATGAATTAATACCAATTGGGTGTATATGCCATATACTACATAATTCTTGCAAGAAGGCAATGAATGAACTATCTGTAGATGTCGAAATAATTGTGATGAAATGTTTTAACGAATTTAGTTCATCAACCAAAAGAGTTAATGAATTAAAAGAGTTGGTGGAGTGGTCTGACTTGGAATGGTGTGAGTTGTTGCGATATGTACCTATCAGGTGGTTATCATTAATACCTTCCATCGATAGAATTTTAAAATTTTACAAACCCTTAATAAAATACTTCTTAAATAAAGATTTTAAAAGCAGTCCAAAAATTTTTTCGAGTATGAAATGGCAGAAGCATATTTGGGATTAGTTTCACATGTAGGAAATCTACAATCAGAATATTCTTTATTAATAAAGATTCACAAAATCAGGCTACAGCTCTGTTCGTCTCTACAGTTAAAAATTGATAATAAATTTTATGGCGCTATTGCAAAAAATATTTTATTAAAATGTTCAAATAATACTCTAATTAATACATTTTTAAATGAAGCAGATATTTTTATTAAGACATTTTTAGAATATTTACAATTAAAATTTGATTTTAAAAACTATTATTATGACCTTGGAACAGAAACCATCAATTGATGATCGTTTTTGTAGTTTAATAAATATATTAAAAATACCGAAAGACACTGCTGTCTTGTTTGAGGAGATTGTAATTCTCTCTATTTTTTATGATTCGCCAGAATACTTAAAGTTAGATGGTCTAAAAGCTAGGTAGAGTTTTTTCGTAATAACAATAAATTCAGATGCTTGGAAAAAATATGTGAGTATGTCTGCTCCCTACCTCGTTCTAATGCTTCATCCGAGCAAATTTTTAGCCTGATGAGGACTTCCTGGGAAAAGGAGAGAAATCGGATTGCTTTAACAACATTAGAGGCCGATCTAATGGTTAAACAAATGGTTAATGATGCTTACTACCTTAAGGTACTACCTATCAAATTTGAATTTTATTTATTTTTCATATGGATAGGCACTACCAAATATATTTATAATATATATTTGAAAAATCGTAATTTTTGGAAAGCCTCTATGGCCTAGTAGGCAAGCGCAAGAGCTTCGCTTATTGATCCCATGGTCGCGGTTTCGAATCCCAGGAATTATCATGTTTTTTTTTCTTAATCTAACTTGGTGGTTCCATCCTTGGGGAGATGATATATAGGAAACAGGACTCGACCACGTGATTCGGTTATAATATATTAAATAATAAGGGTCTTATTACATTTTAATAAATTTTGGCCGGTATTTAGCAAATTAGGTTGGTATTTAGAATATTTCCATACATTCACTTGGTAGTAAGCATCATTAACCTAAACAAATTTATAATGTCATGCCAGGAATTTTATAAATATTCAATAACGACGGTACGTTAGTTCCATTATTTAAATCTCAAATAAAATATAATTAACATAACTATTTAATTTTCCATATATTTTTTATATTTTATAAAATCTTATCTATACATTCGCATTATATAAATATATTTTTTACATTGTAAATCATAGAGAGCAATACAATCTCCTCCAACAAGACATCAGTCTATAGGTATTTTTATAATATTTGAACATTTTAATATAGTTTTAACAAAGCGTCATAAAATTTATTGTCAATTTTTAATTGTAAAGTTGAACACACCTGCAACATAATTTTATGAATCTCTGTTAAGATTCTTCTGATTGCAACTGCACATTAACAGCATGTAGTAGATTTCCTATATGTGAAATCATTCCTAAATATAACTTGCCATTCATTATTGAAAAAAGATTTCAAAGTGTTAGGACAGCTATTCTAATCTATATTTAAGAAATATATTTTAAAGGTTTATAAAATTTTATAATTCTATCGATAGCGGGTATTAGGAACAAATCGCTACCAACATTGTGCTGACTTAATTCTATAAATACACTCTGGTTTTTTCCAAATCCACTGAGGCATTACATTACATTTTTAGTTTTAAAATAGATGTAAAATTTAAAAAAAAATTAAATAAAATTTAACTCGTTATACTTATATGCTCAGAAAACTTTATGGTGGCAGTTCCGCTACATATTCGAGGAAATCGTAAATAAATAAATAATATTAAACAGATTCCCAATAATAATGTTAATATAAATATTGAATTTCCAATATACTCAGGCAATGGCGATATTTTTTTGAGTAGATTCGAAGACATCTTCAAGGACACTCAGATATCGGACATCGAAAAAGCAGGTTCCTTTACAAGACTACCAAATGAGGTATATATTAAACTAGACGAACGAAATAAAATTGGCTATAATGACTTACAAAATATTCTAAATCCACAGACAATATGATTTTTGCTACTGGAACATAGACAACTAGATAAAAAAATTTCTGGAATGTTATGTTTATTTCATTCTAAAAACACGTGAGAAATGATTAATTTGAAAAAGTGAAAAATAAGTAAAATTTATAATGATAAATCTCTAAATTATGAATAAACCTATATGGGACATTAATAATAAAACAAAGTTCATAGACAAATTAGAAGATTACTAAATATTTCATGATAGTATGAATACTCTAAGCTTAATAGGTAATTTACCAGATGATTTATATTTGGTCATGAAAGCAGTGTTTCCAAGAGAGTTAAATTCAAGTTATGATGAAGCATTGTGTATATTAAAGTGTTTATGTAATTATAAATTGCCTACAGAAATAAAAGAAAATTGTTCTAATAAAAATTTTAGTAAATCTAATATTGAGAATTATTATAAAAATAGAAAATTAGACAATAAATATGATAAAGAAACACATTACAATAAATATCATTGTAAATCTCTTAGTTACAAAAAATTGAAAAATATTGAATTAGAACCAAATATTCAAAATGAAAGAGATTCTTATAAACTAAAAGAGATAAATTATATAATAATTTGTGATTATAGAAAATAAGGAAATAAACATTAAAGAAAATAAGGAAATAAACATTAAAGAAAATAAGGAAATAAACATTAAAGAAAATAAGGAAATAAACATTAAAGAAAATTATGAAATAAAAACTTTTATAATTGATAAAAAATTAAAAAAAACTGTGAAAATAAAGAAATGTAAAACAATTATTGTTAAGAGAGGCAAGATGAAAGTTGAACATCTTGATGTTAAAAGAGTTTTTAAGAATATGATATAGAAATCATATATTAGAAATGGAAGGCGAAATAAAATTCCTTTTAGAAAGAACAATTTAAAGATAATTTATGATAGAAAAAGTTGTTTATATTGAAAAATAAGGGAGTAAAATTTAAAATCTAAAAATAATTGAAATTTAATATTAATAAAAAACTATTATATAAAAAGCTACAATTAAATATATTTTTAAAAAAAAAGATAAAATTTATAATTTAATATTGATAAAAATTATTATATAAAACGCTATTATTAAAAACGCAATATTTATAATATAATAAAAAATAAATAAAAATAAAACGCGACCAATTGTTTATTTCATTCCAAAAATTCAATATTTGATAAATTTATTCTGCTTCAATTATTCTTAATCAAATTCGATATTATTTAAATTAATTCTATTTCGATTACTCGACGATTCTTATTTTATTACGATGTTATTCATTAATAACTACATTCTAAAATCATTCAAAATCTTCGCATATATATTTAATAACAAACAATGATAATAATTAACAGAAGGGTGACAAAGTCAAATGATATGAACAACTAAACCGTTTTTCAAAGATTTGGAGGGACAAGATAAGAAAATTTACAAACAAAAACCAACTAATATTAGATATGACAATACCCAGATGATGCCATATACTGAGAGTAACAGACATTATGATAATAATTACAAACATCAGTTTAGACAACCATGGCAGATTCGACCATACTATGGCAACCAAAGATTTAACAACCAAAATAACTATCATTTTCCAAGACGAAACTATGACAGACTGTACGATAAGATTCACATGCAAGAAAAACCTGAATGGAGATCGTTTTTTTTAAAGGGTGGAATGTTGATATGACCGATTAATACTAACCTTTAAATTGTTTTTTTTTGTGTTTACATA